TACCCCGGAGAATAGCATTTAGAAGATCATGTTAGGGGTGTGAGAGACAGCCCGTGAAAAAGTTTTACTATGCTCACCACTGGAAAGTCCTACACATGTCCAGAAAGACCTGCCAATTAGTTTTCTCTACATATCTCAAATATGAAGGATTTGAGAAAATTAAGGGATGATTCTAACTTGAAAGACCAAGATCAAACCAAAAGTAAAAAGGCACTTCAAGAAAATATGAGTATCCGTTATCTGAAATGGTAGGGACCAGAAATATCTTGGATTTTTGAATATTTGCATATGTGTAAACAAGATATGTTGGGGCTAGGACCCCAGTCTAAATCTGATACTCATTTGTTTCATATATACCTTATACACATACCCTGAAGTAATTTCATATAATATTTTTAGTAATTTTATACATGCAACAAAGTTTTGACTGTAGTTTGACTACATTTTGGGGTGGAATTTTCTACTTGTGGCCTCATTTTCTACTTGTGGAATTTTCTACTTGTTGGCAATCAAAAAGCTTTGGAGTTGGAAATATTTTTGATTTTCAGATTAGGGATACTCAACCTGTAGTGTTATTGCAGGGAACAAAGAAAACTTTAAAACAACCAAAAAAACTTAAACTAACATCCTCAGAATGATGAGAACACATTACACTCTCAAACGAAAACAAAGTGCTAATTAAAAGACTTAGATTCCCCATATCTTGGATACCTGTATGAGAGAAGATAAAAGGAAGTCCCAATATGATCAATTCTATGATGGCAACTGTGCTCCTTGGCTGAGAGTACCAGTAGTTAGCCTAGACTGAAGGATGAGGATTCTAGGAAGAACGTCTACCTTTGGAGAATAAATAAATGACATATGATTCTGGTGATAAATTAATAGAAGACACTAAGTAAACTGAGAAAATTACAACCAACCAATTACTTCTTTCAGAAACACAAAAATATTCTAAAAGAAAATGTAATCATAGTATACTACAGAAAAAAGCATTATCTATGTATACTGAATATTTATTGAATATGAGTTTAACAAAAACTTCAAATAGTGATGGGTGAAGTCCCAGTATAGGGATAGTTGAGGAAGGGCAAGAAACAGGAAGAAGTGTGTGAGGAAGCAAAATCTTCATCTTCTATAATAGGGAGTTAGATAATATTCACAAATGAAAAAATCAGAAGAAAAAAAGCATAAGCAGAGCAGGCAACATGATAAAGTGTTTGGAGCTTAGATGTCTAACTATTAGGAATCAGAATGTCATCCAACCTGTCATTCACTTGATCTGCACTAAGTTACTTAGTATTCCTGCTATTGAGTCTCTTCATCTTTAAAATTGTTCTGAGAACTGATTTCACAAATGCAGAACATACATACTTGGCACAGAGTAAGATGCTGTAATTAACAGTGTATTATTTGGAAATATTGAAATAAACAGCAGAGAAGTGATGAAAAGTTCAAAGTGGCCAGATGCGGTGGCTCATGCCTGTGTTCCTAGCACTCTGGGAGGCCACGGCGGATGGATGGCTTGAGCTCAGGAGTCCGAGACCAGCCTGAGCCACAGCGAGACCCTGTCTCTAAAAAAAAAAAAAAGAAAGATAAGAAATAGCCGGGTGTTGTAGAAGGCGCAGGTAGTCCCCGCTACTCAGGGGGCTGAGGCAAGAGGATTACTTAAGCCCAAGTTTGAGCTTGCCTGCTGTGAGCTATGACACTGCGGCACTCTATCCAGGGGGACAAAGTGAGACTCTGTCTTAAAAAATAAATAAATGAAAAAAAAAGTTCAAAGTGGTTGCTTCTGGATAATAGGAATGAAAGGTAGAGAGAGGATCTCTACACAAGATCTAACATTTTCCATGTCATGTCTCATAGCAGCACTGTCCAACAGAATTATAAAACAAGCCACTCTGTGATTTTACGTCTTACATTTAGAAGATTAAAAAGAAACAGTGAAATTAATTTTAGCAATGTTTTATTTAATCCTATGTATCAAAATACTACCATTTAAAACACATAAACACTATAAACATATTAGAGATTTTACATTCTTTTGTTTTGTACTAAAGTATTTGAAATCCAATGTGTATTTTTACATTTACGGCACGACTCAATTCAGACTATCCACAGTTGGGGCAGGGGGAGTCTTGCCCTATCACCCTAGAATACAGTGGCACAATCATAGCTCACTTCAACCTCAAATCCTGGGCTCAAGCAATCTTCCTATCTCAGCCTCCCAAATAGCTAGAACTGTAGGTGTGCATCACCATACCCAACTCATTTTTCTTTAAAAAAAATTTTTTTTTGTACAGACAGAGTTTCAGTGTGTTGCCAAGGCTAGTCTTGAACTCCTGGGCTCAAGCAATCTTCCTGTCTCAGCCTCCCATGCTAGGATTAAAGGCATGACCCATTGTGCTTGGTAAGACTAGCCACATTTTAAATGTTCAATAGCCACATGTGGCTAGTGGCTACTGTACAAAAGTATAGCCTATAGTAATAACTGAATTTTAAAAACAGTACATATCATCAATGGCTGCTAAATCACAGAAAGAGATACCCAGCCACGTATGCCTCATGACAGACTTCTACTTTATACGGTAGTCTAACAATGACAAAAAAAATCTGACCTGGGGGTGGTGCCTGTGGCTCAAAGGAGTAGGGCGCCAGCTCCAGATGCCAGAGGTGGTGGGTTCAAACCCAGCTCTGGCCAAAAGAAAAAAAAAAAAATGATCTGGCTTGGCATCTGTAGCTCAGCAGCTAGGGCGCCAGTCACATACACCAGAGCTGGCAGGTTCGAATCCAGCCTGCTAAAAGACAATGACAACTACAACATATAATAACCAGGAGTTGTGGCAGAAGCTTGTAGTCCCAGATACTTGGGAAGCTGAGGTGAAAGAATTGCTTAAGCCCAAGAGTTTGAGGTTGCTGTGAGCTGTGACACCACGGTACTCTACCAAGGGCAACATAATGAGACTGTCTCAAAAAAAAAAAAAAAAAAAAGAAAGAAAAGAAAATGTGATCAAGTCTTTAGATTTAATAACTGATTTACAGAAAATAAGGAAAAAAAAACATGTTAAGTGGCATATCAAGTATACAACCAGCAAAATCCAAATGGTGGGAAACTCTTAGTAAACAAGTAAACCAAAAGGGGAAATTTTAAAAATGTGATGAAGATGAAATTCATTATTTTAAAAGACTTAAGTGTTTTATCAATTAAATAATTGACTTATCAATGAATTGCAATGTGTGGTCCCTATCTAGATTCTGGCTAGAATTATTTAACAATTTTTTTTATATTTGTGAGATAATCGAAAATTTGGTAGTAAGAAATTATTTTTTTTAATTTATTTTTTTTCAGACAAAATCTCACTTTGTTGCCCTCAGTAGGGTGCAGTGGTGTCACAGCTTACAGTAACCTCAAACTCTTGGGCTTAAGCAATTCTTTTGCCTCGGCCTTCCAAGTATCTAGGACTATATGAGCCTGTCACAACACCCTGCTTTTGTTTTGTTGTTGCAGTTGTCATTGCTGTTTTAGCTGGCTGGGGCCAGGTTCAAACCCATCACCCTTGGTATATGGGGCCGATGCCCTACCCACTGAGCCACAGGTGCCATCCCTAAGAAATTATTATTATTATTATTTTTTTTTTTTGAGACAGAGCCTCAAGCTGTTGCCCTGGGTAGAGCACTATGGCATCACAGCTCACAGCAACCTCCAGCTCATGGGCTTAAGCGATTCTCCTGCCTCCGCCTCCCAAATAGCTGGGACTACAGGTGCCTGCTACAAGGCCCGGCTATTTTTTGGTTGCAGCCATCATTGTTGTTTAGCATGCCCAGGCTGGATTTGAACCCACCACCTCAGGTATATGTGGCTGGTGCCTTAGCCGTATGAGCCACAGGCACCGAGCCAAGAAATTATTATTTTTTTGGCTGGGGCTGGGTTTGAACCCGCCACCTCCAGCATATGGGGCTGGCGCCCTACTCCTTTGAGCCACAGGTGCTGCCCTCAAGAAATTATTTTTAATAATTCTTTTTTTAGGTACACTAATGCTTTTATATAAGTTTTTGTTTTAAATGATCATCTCTTAGGAATACATACTGAAATATTTATGGGTGAAATGATATGCTATCTGCAAATTGCTTCAAAGTAACATGCAAGTTGGGGGATGTGGGTAGGAGTTCAGATGAAATTAAGTTGACCACAAAGAACTGATAATTGGGCTCAGCGCCCATGCTCAGTGGTTAGGGCGCTGGCCACATATACTGGGGCTAGCGGGTTTGAACCCAGCCTGGGCCTGCTAAACAATGACAACTACAACAAAAAAAACAGCCGGGCATTGTGGTGAGTGGGTGCCTGTAGTCCCAGCTACTTGGGAGGCTGAGGCAAGAGAATTGCTCAAACCCGAGTTTGAGGTTGCTATGAACTGTGATGCCACGGCACTCTACAAAGAAGACCAAGTGAGACTTTGTCTCAAAAAAAAAAAAAAAAAAAAAAGAAAAAAAAAGAATTGATAATTGGTAAAGTTACATGATAGGTACATGTAGGTTCATTACTTTATCTATTCTTGTATGTGTTTTAAATTTTCCACAAGAAGACATTGAAGCACATGTATTGATTTTTTAAATAAAATCAGTTTTATTTAAAAAAGAATATAGGTCAGCTTAAAGGTAAAATTATAGGTTAAGTTACTGATTGTGATACAATCACTCTGCCCATCCAACTCAAGCCAAACATTAATTCCTTCAGACCCGAGGAGAGCTTTTTCTCTTATTTCTTATCCAGCCATAAGCCTAGGAGACTTGGATTTGTCATTGGTCTGACTTTATACAGTCTTCCTTTCTAGCTCATCTGATACTCTCCACAAGGAAGCAGGACTCAGTTTGCTTGGAAACCATTTGAAATTACCCCCATGGCAAACTGCAGAATGCTTTAATTTAATACTTAACTAAAGAGGGATTCTCAGAAAACAACATAAAGCAAATTCAAAAAGATAAATTCAAGACACTAGTCAATTAGCCGGAGAACTTACTTTTATTTTTGCAGTTTTATACTAGGAAGTCAACATTTAATAACTCATTGTCCACAACTGATTTATTAAAAAAATTTTAATCCTTAAATTGTACATCAATATCCTATGACTCCAAATTTTTTTTAATCACTCTCCTTCAAGTCTGAAGAAAACGATTATTAAATTCCACAGACAGCACAGTCCCACTGACGTAACAATTAGTATGAAGTCCTACACTCACATGAGAATTAAGAATAGCCAGTATCAAACTGGCCTGAAACCTGATTGAATTCCTGGCTCAGGATACCTATAGTAAATTTGTAAATCCACACTAAAACACAAAATTAAAATAGGGTGTGTCTATCTTGTTAAAAATTTTTCACAGTAAAAATTAACATTAAAATTTTACCAAATTTCAACTTTATTTTAGTATAATTAAACTTTCAAAATGCCTGATTAACTGTGAAATAATTACAGATAACTTCATGTAGTTTTTTCTTTTTAAGTTTGCCCAGCATGTCAAAATGGTTATGGAATACTTTCAAAATGTAAAAGTATGCTATACATATTGCACTTTTCTGCTAGGCTGGGGCCAGTATCTTCCATGGCAAGATACCAAAACTACTGAATAAAATATACTTTAAAATCAATAGGTACTTGATTAATTTCCCTGAAATTATCAACATCATTACCAAAATCTTCCAGGATTTTGTAAGACTTGATTCCTTAAATAGTTTAAAGTTAAACCTATGGAGGGGGAAAAACCCCTCATATACTGACTTTTTATGTCCTTTTTTGGTCCTTCCATGACCAAAGGAAATTTTAAACAAATTATGTTCCATGTTTCCTGGCTTAATAAAAAGCTACAATTTCTATTATCCAAATTAAGAAGTATTATGCTAATCAAAAGCTATTAATTTTGAAATGTCTATGTATGTCTATCTATAGGTCCCCTTAGAACCTTTCCAAACTTCTATAGTCAAGAGATTTTAATCAGTTATGTATTAGAATCAAATTAGATAAAGAAAAACTTATTTTGCAAAAATAAAATCACTTCCCAATATGCTTGACAGAAACAAGCTATTCATTTTCATTTGTGTTCCATTGAAGACATTACTGAAATCTGTCCAATGGTTTATTTCCAAGTAGTCCACTACGGAATTCTTCGGAATGTTTTAAGATTGGCTGTAGCTAGAGTTCTGACTTCCATTTGGACCCTGCTCTCCTTCACTGTTCAAATGGGGAAGAAAGAGATTTTTACCAATTAAAAGATTCATTTTTAAGACCCTAATAAGCCCATTATTTTAAATTTCATTACTCTGTAGCACAGTTCTACAATGACATTCCTAATTAAAAGGCAGAAATGTGGAGAAATTAAAATCCAGAAAAGTAACATTTGGTTTTATGTTTTTATTCTTATATAACTTTGTACCCTCACACATGTAACAAGCATTCTAGAAGTCAGTGTCCAAGCACACTCTAAAAATTTAAATTAGGGTATGGGATTTCATTGTGATTACAGGTATCACTCAACATAGAGATTACAGCTTCTTCTAAACAAATTTTCCATAAAATCTTACATATTAAAATCCTATTCCTACCCCAAAAAAGCTACTGTCCAAACGTATAATAAAGTCATATGTAAATACTTTTATGGCAGAAAGAAATAAGGTAATTTCCTATAAAATGCTGAATACTTAAAATTTAAAAAACTAAACTGAAAATACCAGTGACTGTGGCAATGGGATTATTGCCTTATCTTGTCCACCATCATCTTGTAGCTTCAGGCCCTGCCACTGGTGGAGAATCACTCAGGGAATTTCTGCAAAAAATGCATCCAAAGGCAGCTGTTTGAATGACTGTCTGAAACAGCTCCTTGTATAAGTCAAGTTAACTTCGTGCAAACTGTAACATTATCAGTAGCAACCTACAAGTTTATCTTGTTATACAGCTTAATTATAGTTCTAGAATGGTGATAAAGATGTATAACATTCCTTTATTTTCCTTCTGACCCTTTTTCCTTACCCTGAATGATCTGACAGACAGTTAGGGCTTAGAATAGGAACTATTAAATAATTGAACAGATCCAATTAAAAAAAATCAACAACAAAAAGTCTCTTAGCACAAGTGACTCATATTTAGCAAAATGTTTGTGTGCTGTAATTCTTTATGATAGCAGATCATTCATCTATATTTTTCAAACTGCTACTGAAATTTATGAAACAGGAAAATAGCCAGTAGAGGGGGGAAAAAGAAAAAGATGGCACAGAGTTAAACTGTCATTAAACTACTACAGAATTCCTTATCCCTGAATTTCAGATAAATGTGTCTAATTCTGCTCTGTTTAAATTTATATCCATATGTGGCCATATGTTGAGGGATACCTGTAATAGATCTCCATTACATCAGGAAGAATTACTAAATAGAAGATCAGATTAATGTTTTGTTTTTTTTGAAACAGAGTCTCACTCTGTTGCCTAGGCTAGAGTGCAGTGGCATCAGCCTAGCTCATAGCAACTCCTGGGTTCAAGCAATCCTCTTGCCTCAGCCTCCCAAGTAGCTGGGACTACAGTAGCCCACCACAAAGCCTGGCCAATTTTTTCTGTTTTTAGTACAGAGTCTGGCTCTTGCTCAGGCTACTCTTGAACTTCTAAGCTTCACTGATCCTCCTGTTTTGGCCTCCCAGAGTGCTAGGTTTACAGACCTGAGCCACCACACCCAGCCTAATGTATTTTTTATTTTGAGACAGAATCTCACCATGTCACCCTTGGTAGAGTGCCGTAGGGGTCACAGCTCACAGCAACCTCAGACTCTTGGGCTTAAGCGATTCTCTTGTCTCAGTCTCCCAAGTAGCTGGGACTACAGGCACCCCTAATGTATTTTTTTAAATGAGATAGTCTCAAACTATCAAGGCACAAATTAAAAAATAAAATTAACATGGATTATAAAGTTTTAGAAGAATTTTAGGAAAAACATACAAAACAACATAATCTAAGAAAAAATATGATAAATAAATATGATATATGTAATTAAATGAAATCAATAATTAAAGTCTACAAAGTACCTGTTTGGAGGTGGTTTTGGTTTCGGCATCTTACTAAGAATAGTTGCCATCTCTTTTCTCTCATCAAAATTCTTCCACTGCTCATATAGTTTTAAAATAACCCTGATTATTTCCAAAATCTAGAAGAAAATATTTAAAAGTTCTCAGTGGCAAAAACAAGCAACAAGTATTATATATAAAAAAATACATACCACTTGCTAGACATCCCTCAGAAACAGTAAAAAGATAAGAGTGTCTGTACTTAAATATGCAGGTTGGGTTAGACAATTCTTTTTTTGTGTGTGTCAGGTTAGACAATTCTGATAAAATATGAAAGCAATTATTTTTCACCACACTTCTATTTAGGCAGGCTTTTCCTCCTAGACTCATCTTTTAACAGGTATGTCCTGTACATCCTTATCCATCTCTGAAGTTGGTTTCCTCCTATCTGATGATATCTTTTTTTTT